ATTATATCACAGCATGTAAACTGACTGTGTTATGTAATACAAAAAACAAATGCATATGAAGGACTTATTTACTTACTGCTATAATGTCTAGTTAGTTTATCAATGTGCACCTTAAGATGGGTGTAAAATCATGTTTTCCCTTCTGAATGTAGATTTGTAGCCCGTTCTTTATGGGTCCCGAGTAATGGACGGCCTTTCAGGGAACCCACTCATTACGGGAGAAGAGGAAGAGCATGGATGTTGTTCGTGTGCCGTGGTTGCCATAAAAAGATGGAGCTAAATATTTTGCAGATACTAATATGAAATCAAAACTATTCTGCTGAGCTAAATGTGCATGGAATATAAAATGTTATTGTTTTTCTTACTTTCTACTGACTCAGGTTTTCTCAATGCTGTCTGGACTGCAAGTTATAACCACAAACGATAGATTGCCATAACAATAACAAACAAACAAACAGCTGTGTTAGTCATCAAATGTGTTGCAAAACTAGATTAGGAAAGACGAGATATATACAGTATATTCTAACTTCATCCATTTGTTTTAAATTACATTTTTGACTCGATAATGATATGTGATGCATCAATAAATGCAAGTTTAAAAACCACACTGCTAACATTAGTTTCCCCAAATGTCTACTGTAATGTATTTGGCCAAGTTAGTCAGTTTCCTATTTGGGTCAAGCCTCAGCTCTGTGACTGTTCTCATATTCAACATCACTTGGCCCGTCTCATACTTTCTGCTCCCACACATCGGCCCGAAAAAAAGCTTTGATCTTAATGGAAAAAAACAAATCCTCATCGGTTCCCACTGTAGTCGCTGTTCTACGATTCCCCAGTGACCACAGCAAGTCAACCCAGTTCAGACTGTCTCCGTCTTTCGCTGCGAGAGGCACTTTGTTTGTTGTGGACTTTCATTAACGCTTTTCCACTTCCTCATCATGTAACGTTATGTTATTAAGAAAATGTGTAATACGTTTATAACTTGTCTAGATGCTCTGTTGATTTTATTCTGTCATAAGTTAAATTAACAAATGGCAAGCTCATGCGATTCATTTAAAATAAAGTGGAATAAAATGTACAATGGAGGCATTGTCTGATTTCAAATGGACTCGTTGGGGAGAAATGTCAAAATTGGATTTGTAGTTGTGCATTGTACACTTTTTAAATATGCTTTTTTGCATAGAGATGGAGAGGATTGGGCATTCTTTAAAAAAAAAATCCTGCAGCACACACGGTCTGTTACAGCAGGATATACTTTCTTGTTTTTGTTCTGGAGTCTTGTTGGCCTCTTGATATTTCTGCACAACCTCTCAGTACATTACATTACATTACGGCTTTAAGTTCAGTATTGACACATAGTGTGTGTTCCTGTGTTCACACACAGGAAGAGGTGTTTGTAGGCAGAAGTAAAATAGCCAGCGAAATGATTGGTGTTATGCCTCAGAGTGTAAATACGGTTCACCGTGTTACATTTGTCATTTTTAAGACCTGGTGCTTAACTGGTACAACCAATTCTGTACAGTGACACACACACAGTTGTGTTTTCATCACCTTTGGGGACATTACATTGACTTATTCATACCCTAACCCTCACCCTAACCTAAACTGTGGGACTGTGTAGTCGGATATATGTACCCACAAGATGGGTAAAACATGGCCACAGACACACACATTTAGTGTGTGTGTGTGTGTGTGTGTGTGTTTTTACACTGTACTCTGGTACTAATTGAGGCTTGAATCTCTGCTGCATGGCTCAGAGCCGTTGGCGCTGGAGGGTTATAAGTGTTTAATTCAACCACCACGCTGTGCTTCTTTACATTACCAGCGTTTTCAATCATGATTGAATAGAACAGAATTGTATGGCATGCAACATTTAGCTCTCCAATCACTTCAAAGTATCAAAAATGGAAACACCCCCCCCAAAAAAATTAGGCAAATTATAAGAAATTTTATACATAAAAAAATGTAGATTAAGTATTGCAGTGTAGATGTTACCAATAAAAACGCAATGATCTGAAAACTTAAAAGCAAATACTGTTTAAACGCCTCAACATGCTTCACTTAGTTGGTTGGTTGCATGTTATCTCCCGCTTCACTGGCAGTCTTTCTTTTTTTCCGGTGGCTGAGCAATCCCATAAGAGCCATCACAGGACAAGCACTGCCCCATAATTAATGTGCACGGCATCTTCACTCGAATCCAGTCATAGCAGCTTTAAGTTCACAAGTAATGTGAGCGCCAGAAAGATGATAAGCAGATAGCAGTCCACCAAACCCCTCATAAAGGAGGTTCAAACAGGGCCGTTTCTATTAATACCGTGCTGTTGTCAGACTGTTGATCCAATTGTAAGACCAGTACATATTAGTAAGCATCAAAATGTTGCAGAGGGCCAGCGGTGCAGATAAAGTGTCGTACTATATAGTCATTTCTGTGTCAAGCAATGTAATTACTGTGGGAAATCCTATGATTAATATTGAAAACCTTATTAATGACAGTCTGTCTTTCATGATGTGGGCTGTGATGTCTCATACAGTTACAGGTTTGATTTGAGTGTCAAATGTATGTCAGACTTTCGTACAATAATGTAGGTCAGAGGTTGATCACAGTACCGCTACTTATGACTAAAAAACAGTTGAAAGTAGTGGGTTTGATAAGTTTCACAATGAGCCATACATCGTCATTTAGCTGTTAATCATGCCGCCTGTGAGCTCTGTGCTGGAGTTATGCGTTTTATGTCTGAATAGATCTTTGGTTTTTTGAAGTTCACAAGGCTAACTCTTTTAATTTGTTAGTTTGAGTTGATCTTAATGCGTTTTCGCATCAATGCAAATCCACATACAGATAATCATCATTGTGAGGGTGAGGCTCCCTCTTACAGACTGTGAACAAGCTTCCTCCTCTATCTTCACTATTTCTAAATCTGAACTCTCTTTTCCCATTTTTTTTTTTGTGACTAATGGGGGCCACAATTTTTTTAAATTTGTCCAGTATTAAGTGAGAACGCTGCGGCCGCTTAAGGGGCTGCAATATAATTGCTCCAGGCATTTCTGCACCATCAATACATGTCCACTTTAAGTGCTTGTTTTTGCCACTGACTGGCACAGATATTGTTATTACAAGTGTCTAACAACATTATGGAAAGGACACTACAGAGAAATATGTTTTTCTGTACCGTCCGTTTGATCTGGTCTGATTGTTATTGCGTCTTATGACTTGTTGCTGGAAGACAACGGTGGAAACGTGAGACGGTTGGAGAGAGGAGGGCCGATGCTGTCAGAGTACAGAAAGCGTAGCTTAGTGTTGTCTAAAATATGTTCAATGTCATGGCTTAGCTGATTCGCTAAACTGGCTTTAGCTGATTTTAACAATGTGGATGTGACGCGAGATTTAAGAACGAGACTTCTCGGACAGATCAGACCGACTAGATCAAGGGAAAGGCACAAAAACATGGGGAAATAAGGTCCAGGTTAAAAATACCAAAGTTACCCTTTAAGCCATCTGCAAAACAGTGTGATTGATTGTGTTGATGTTTTTCAGATGACTGCCAAAAGTTAAGCTGGCATCACTTTCTGAATTCCGCCACTATTTCAAACGATCTGACTGTGTTGGGAATGATGTGAATGAATGAGCTACGGCTAAACTTCTTCGCTGGAAGTCTTCCAAGATACCCCACCTCTACTCATACTTGGTCGCGGTCCAAATTACACAAGCGAGTGTCGTCTTTCCGCTGACCATGAAGCTCTGGCCGCTGTGAATTTGGGTCGTGCTTGTTTGGGGAGATAGGCCGGGGATGGCTCCTGGTCTTTGAGACTGAAGCTCACAAGTTCTATTTATTTACTCTTTTATTTATACCACTCTTTACTCCCGTCTGGCAGACATGGCTCTGTAACTTTAATGCCATGGACAGAACACGGGTGGGAACAACACTTGGAGCGCCATGATACAGAATCGGCACCAAGATATCTATAGGCCTGAATGCAGAGTCATTATCAAACTTAGCGAGCCAACTCTGGTACGTGATCCTAATGTACATTCCAATGAGTGTGCAGCCAAAACAAACAAGGGAGAAAAGACTTAAGCCCTTCTAATGCTGTTAAATTCCTGTCATGGATTACACAGCAGTGTCGGTCTAACACTAGTTTGAAGCCTCTTTGGCCACAACCCCGCCCCTCAAACCTTACATACTCCCAGCGCACATGCTGGCGCTTTGCCTGCAAAACACCTGGCTAGTCGAGCAGTTCATGCAGTTCATGCAGTTCATGTGTCTCGGTTACTTTAAGTCTAATTATAGACTGTCGAGAATAATAACAACTATGTCTGAGTGTAGGCAAGTTTCTCAAGATATTCAAATGAGGCTTTAACATGTCTCGTGGGTGAGATTTAGAGCTCGGTTGCATAAGAGAGCGCTCGATAGGCTTCATTGGGTTTGACTTATTTGCTTACACATTGAGCAATCATGAGAAAACGATCAGTTCGCACATCAAAATAACAAACCATCACAGAGAGCTTCAACTAAAGACAACCTCCCAGTCATACTATATACTAAAATGAATGCTTCTCAAAGCCGCTCTTAGGTTTGCATCATTTTGCTGTACTACAGAAAATAAAAAGTTCCAGTTATTTGCCTGTTTGGTGTGTTTTTTCGGAACCAAAGTACAGTACAGTACTCTATATTATAGTTTAATACTTTAAGCAATACCACCATCGTTTTGTCCCTTGTCCAGATCGCCATAGGAAAAAACATTGTTTAGAGAAAACGGCAGAACAATCGAAACGTTAATCTGTTTTTAGTACACATATTTTCCTTTCAGTCTACTGGATTTGTCCACAGGGTTTTCATATTACCTAGCAACAGTAGAACATACCATTGAGGCTGCTCATAAACCAGCCCTCAGCAGCCTGCTTTGGATTTTTAACAAACATCTTTGCTGCTCACTTTACATATTTCTCTCTCTCTATCTCTCTCTCACTCTCTCACTCTTTCTCTCTGTATGCATTTCAGCTCATCACCGAGAGCGGGAGAGACTGTCGGTTCCGTGGTGCCAGGCCAATCCAAGCCCAGCGGACAGACGCACAAGATCTGTCTGGTGTGTTCGGACGAGGCCTCAGGATGCCACTATGGGGTTGTAACCTGCGGCAGCTGCAAGGTGTTCTTCAAGAGGGCCGTCGAAGGTTGGTCTCACTCACTCAGTCGGACGTGACGCATGCTTTTATATTTCAATGATCAGATTTACGTAGAGTGTATATTTAATTTTTAGAAAGCGTTCTCATTTAAACCTTTTTTGTGTTGAACCAATGATTGAAATTGAATTCAATTGAACACGTTTGAACCAATGAGTTGTGGACACATCTACAGCAGGCTGTAATCTCATTTGCATATTCATGTTTGTGTATTCTATGTTATGCAGCCACAACCTCGTACAAGTGCACCTAATAGCAATGGTTAGCATCCATTACCTTTGTACATTTTGTCCCAAAGACTCATTTATTTGAGTTGCATATAATCAGCTGTTGCACAACAACAGAACACCTCTTCTGTTTCTCTATCCTAGGCACCAGAAAATGAAATTATTTCCCAAATACCAAGAGTGGAATAGTAGGGTGTTAGCTGTTGGCCTTTACATGACCACGTGATGTTCATGCATTTTTTGGGGTTTGAGTCGTAGTCCTTACCTTGTACCGCCTCCTCTTCTCTTGCGCTTCCTGTTTGTCCTGTAGCAAAGTAGGGATGATTTACAAGTAACTATAACTAAAAAAACAAAAAAAGAGGAAAAGGCCTACTCCAAAAATATTCCGATCATGATACCCTTACGATTAACATAGTGTAGTGTTGCCTTACAACGGACTAGTATTGTAATGAGCTTGTAAAACAGACATTCTTCTGCTCGGCTTCATAAACATTTCATATCTTTCAATACAGTATTCGGTTCTGGTCTCAGGCAATTTGTGCATCAGGGAACTTGTCTCGGGTCTAATTGCCTTGACAAAATCTTAAAAAGGGAGGGGCAGGAATGCATCTGACAAACAGTCATTTATGTTATTGTGTTTCTGCAATGCATTCCATTTCCCACTGCTTCTCTCTGCTGCTGGTTCGACACAAGCTGTCTCTACAGATGTGTAGTTCGTTTGAAAAGGCTTTCTGAGGAGTGTCTTTCTGTCAATTGATTATTGCATTTATCAACAATGCCTAGGAGAACAATACATAGACCACTCCCTATTCTGACCCAACACCGGTACTAAATGCACAGAAATGAGCCTTGTTGTCAAGTCCCAATTATCAGTGTCCGTTTCCTCGATTTCTGTGACTAAAGCTGCCACTTGATACTAGCTAGTGAGCTCATTCTGAATATGAGGTGAACATACTGTAGATTGTTTTCTGCAACAGTTGAACATAGCTGGTGTTGGATGGTAAGTTTTATTTTAAAAAGAGCTGCCTACAGTAGTACTGAGAAAGTTACATCTGTTTTTGTTTCTTCTCCCCCCCTCTCCATTCTCCGGTCGTTGTCTCTATGGTGAAGGATGGAGAGCACGACAAAACACAGATGGTAAATAAATCCACTTTTAATAATATCTAAATTAATAATTATAAAAATGATGATGATGATACTGATGGTAATACTTTCACCCTTGATTGCTCATGTCCCTGTATTCCTTCAGCAATGAAATATGACCAATCTGCTCAGACACATGCACAGCCTCTTCTGCCAACTATCTGTTAATGCATGCAAATGTTCTGATTTGGTTCAAGTCAGTGAGTGATTTTGTGCTCTTCAATGTATGCTTGGAATGTTCCTCATGATCCTCACAGGTGGTAGGTCCAATAATTGCAATCACAAACTGTTTCTAATTAGGCCTTTTATTTTCTCTTGACCCGCATAAACCTCATGAGATCTGATGTCAAAAATCAACTTGGACATATTGTATTTATTTTTGTGTTATTTATAGGTTAATGAGGATACAAATCAGGGATTTTGACATCAGAATGTTATTTAATGGTTTTGGTTAATTATCAAGGACATTTGCTTTCTTACTTCCTTTAAACCGTCAGATTAATTAACCACTAATAGTTGCTTAGTTAAAAGACTGGTCAGGTTCAAATTGCACCTATTTGCTGTGCTAACCACTACATGCTACATGTTGCTAGTGTTGGCTACAAACCAGCGTGAGGCTTCACCGACCCGTTCTGAAAGGTGCTGCCAGGCCCTTGTTAACAGATCAGGGCAGGATAAGGGAGCAATGATGTCAGTGTGATTCAGCTGGCACTTTTGACACCACAGATGGCCTTTTTATGCCATTATTTGCAATGGTATCAGGGAAAGGCTGCAACTGGCAGCCCGCAGGCCGCTGTCATGTCTTCACACCACCAGCCCTGCAGAATCATTTCCAGTATATGTGAAATATGATCATTTGTCGGTTTCAAAGGTGTTCATTACTGCGATTTTGATAAATGTCCAGAGACATTTGCAGAATGCATTTTGCTCCAGCCACGTTACGCTTTCTTTTTAGACTTAAACGCAGAGCAGGATTGTTAGGAGATCTGAAAGACATTAGCTTGAATAATAATTGACTTTGCAAAATCTTCACTTGCAGGAAACTACATCTATCTTTACACTTTGCATTTGAGTGGAAAGTAAATGAATTTGTTACTTTATTGTGTGTCCAAAATAGAGGATTTCTTAGCACCAGAAAAAAATTGTGATGTTTTAGTGTCACAATGTTTTTGTTATTTGTCTCATAGTGCTCATAAAAAAAGAAGAAGTTTCTAATTTAGTTTTGATGAATACTGTATGGCCTCCCCGGCGCTTCTGTTCTGAAGCGTCATTAAGCTGAGCTAATCATTTGCTCGATGTCCCAGATTCTGTGTTTGCTGGTGCTCATAGTACATGCATTTGGTCTGCTGTATTAGGCTCAGTATTCACTCACTTGTGAGCAAACGGGAGGAGGGAAAAAATAATGTAAAGCACTGCATGATAAAGGAGATTCATTATGAGTTCACTGTTAGAAAGGTAACTTCAGACGGCTGTTCAGACGGCCAGCATTAAATGTCTGAACAGCGATTGCTCTTACTTTGCTCTTAATTGCACAATTAACACCAATGATTGCCAGTGCTTAAGAACCGTGGTGAATCTAGAATGCATGGCCAAAATAATCTTGTGGTTATTTTGATTATTGCCTTCACAAGGCAGTTTTATGGAACATATTTGTAGACAGTGTTCAAAACTGGTTTGAAATTATTAAAAGGAGCATTAAGGATTTTCCAAATACAAAGGCTGTTCTTAATTTTGTATTAATAATATAATTTGAATGTGTAGCACAATGTTTTGCCATCATGTCCATGCACCCCTAGTAGTAGTGACGCAGGAATACCAACACACACAGTGTAGTATTATTTTGACATTCTATTATATAGTGCCAGCAGCGATATCGAATGCCCTTTAGTTCAAAAAGCTGCATCAAACACATATTTCAAAGACCAGTAACAATGTGTATGGTCCCAAAGGGCATTTCGTCAAGGCACTGTTGACTTTGTGTAAGGTCTTGTTTCAGCCAACGATGGTTTTTTTTTTGAGGTCATGCAGAAACTTCTCGGTGTGTGTGTACATTAAATGAAGGGTTGCTGGAAAGTGGCCGAGGCAGAGCAAGCACATATGCATTGTATTACCCACTATGATGATCTCTGCATCAATTTACAATATAGAGCCAAGTTTCACAGATATAAAAGTCTGCACATTGCAAGGTTTCCATGCCATTATTTATTGTATCCTCTGCTTCTAGCACTGATAGCTATGTAGACCTGCTCTATAATGAGTAATGCTATTATACCAGAAGCTACTAATGAGCAGGCCTTTCACCTTTACTTCTCCATATCTACAGTAATTGGCGATGGGGGAGTATATTATAATTTAGTCATCCAGTCATGTATAAGGGGCATACGCTCTTTGGTAAGAGGTGCCCTTGAACTCACCATTTTTCAGTGGAAGAATGAGACTCAAATGTGACTCCTGCGATATGACTGTGTTTTTCCGTCTTAGAGCTTGAGCTGAAAAAGTTGAATATAGTTCAACTTTAAGTTAGAATCACTGCACACTCTGAAATCCTACCACCGTTTGTTGTATCTTGCGATAGCATCTCAACTCTTTCTCTGCCCTTTTTGCGACTTGCGTAGCGTCGTCGCTGTGCCCCATGTTTCCCTGTCAGACCGAGATCTCACTTTTTTTAGAATCCAATAGTTGAAAAAAATATAATACCATTTTAAATCGCTGCCTACACTTTGTTTTCCACTGCAAAGTCAGCTGCACATGTGAACTTTGTTGGGTTAGTGACTCATCTACCACATCAGCAGTGATTCTAGTTTATTTTGGCAGTTGGATTTCATAGAATGACTTTCATATTGAAACTTAGAAAGATGACCATGGCATGCTGGGCATGATGTTCATGGGACTTCCCCTGATTCATTTGATCTATTTGAGATTTAGCATGTATTCGTATGAACTGAAAAGAATGAACTGTTGCTGGAACGGTAACATTCATGTGACGTTCCTCGGGCTCCGCTACACAAGTACTGTATGTGATAAAAGCAAGACACTGTTGCACTGAAGCACAGGCTACTGCTGTTGAACTGCAGTCGACAGTATTTCTTGGGGACTCTGTCTGGTTGTTGGGAAAGAGCTCTGAGCTCATTCTCATGGCTTGTGCCATGTTTCTCAAGTGCAGACTTGAGAAACTGAAGCTGCCGACACCAGAGGAATGCCACAGGCTTGTCAGGCTTACTGTAGAATCAGCAGGTGGTTAGTGTGGTAATAGTACATACAGGCCAGGCTAATCCTTCTCAAACCTTCTTAGCTTGCTAATATGTCTCCCTTTTTCACCTTCTCTTCTCGTCCCTCTCCTCTTTACAGGTCAGCACAACTACCTGTGTGCAGGGAGAAATGACTGCATCATTGACAAGATCCGCAGGAAGAACTGTCCAGCCTGCCGATTCAGGAAATGTCTTAAAGCCGGAATGAACTTGGAAGGTAAACAGTCTGACCCCTCTTTTGCAACCTATGAACAGAAGTGACCATATGGACTGCGGAGGAGTGGCCTAGAGACAACATATATACGACTCTGGTAGCAAAATGTCAATCACAAGGTAGCCATGCCCTGAAGCATACCCTGCTTTATTGTCTATTTAACTCTAAGCGGGACCATAATTTACAAAATGGACATCATGCTGTATTGAAGAAGACTTGAGACTAGTGATTGAAACTATAAACTCATGTTTACATTGTTTTCTAAGGTTATTTTCTCATAGACTTCTATACAATCTGACTTCTGTTTGCGACCAGTGGAGTCACCCCCTGATGGCCAGTAGCGAGAGTGCAAGTTTAAGGAACAGGATGAGAACTTTTTTTTTTTTTTCTGTGCCTTTAACTAGTAGCTTGTTGAATTTCCACATTAATTGAGTGTCATGTCACTGCCACCCATTCTTTCCATGAGGGCTTCTAGTATGTCTAGTTTCTACTTAAACCACCATCGCCCAAGTTAATGGAAAATGTCCAAGTCGCATTAGTTTGAATGTGTCATGTCACCACACCTCCTGCTAAAATGATTGTCTGAGAAAATTGCTTAGAATCATGCTTGTAGCTCAACATATGTAAAGTACACTGACTTGCACTTAATTATAATATACATACTAAGAATACTCCCATAACTCTACTTCTGATTCCTTTAAGTTAATTGTAGTTATCTGTTGTTGTAGCTTTCCAACTATGATGAAACTAAAGTACAGAACAGTCTATAACAGGCATTAATCAAGCAATAGCTGTCTATTATAGCGTTACTGGCACAGAATTGACTTTAAATGCGCTGTCTGTTCTTAGACTTCTCAGTGAGTCTAATCGTGTCAACTATGGTTAGTTCATTTGATTTCATGATTTTTTTTTCTGAAAGCTGTATTTCTTTTTTTCCAAAGTGCCCTAAGGGTTTTTGTTGGGGAAGAAATTGTTAGAAACTGTAGTTTTTCATTCTTTATTGATTATTCTAAAAGTAGTTTTGAGTCGTATGCCGGTATAGTAACAAGGCAGCCTCAACATGAAATAAACAAGCCAGCCAAGTGCATCAGATTACAGACATTGAATAATATATTTATGTGTGGAGGGGAGACATTAAATATGGACGAGCCTTTTGCCATTGCTTTGACCACATCCTTAAATCAACATGGATGATAACAGTAGTCTGGTTAGTCACAAATACGCACTGCATACATGCCTGAAACACACTTTCTCTGACATTTTCCTCTTTTGGGGATTTTAGAAAGTCAAAATAAAAGATATTGAAAGTGAAGAAATTGCCTCTAGTACAACGCCAATACTGTTTCACCTCTGTGGAAATGGTCTTCTCAAGGAAAGCCTTGAAAGTGAGCACAGATATTCCAAGATGCGACAGCAACAATTCTGAAATTGACAATTTTCTTCAGAGGACCTTGAAAATCTCTGAAAAGTCTTGACTTTTATCTTCATTTTATAGACATTTTGCTCCAAATAAAAGTTGGAAAGGCTGCAGTGCGGATCGACCGGCGTTAGTCACTCACCGGGGGGAACATGTGTGCACCATTGTCTGTGAATGTGCTCTCCTGTACACGTGTGCTGGCATGCAGGCGAGGCAGTATGAGAGCGCCACCTCCTCGCACACACATTGATCAATGCATAAACCACATCCACAGGCCACAGCCTGCTTAAGTGCTTGGAACTTGGCTGTTGCGTTATTTCAGCTGATGCTACCTTTGGGGCATGAATTTGCCGTCGGTGTTGTGACTGCCTGTAAAGAGTGCGTTGTTTGTCTGACGGAGGTGAAAGTAGCTCCATATAGGGAGAGACGGAATAACAGGGAGAGGGATTTGATGGACGTCAACGCATCGGCAGACAGACTCCCACCAGAGAGGCTCTTAGTTGCCATAGAAACGCCAGGAGAGGAAATTAAACAGAGGTGGAGAGAGTAGGAAAAAAACATGTTTTTTCATGGCACCCTCTCCACCCCTGGCATGTTTTGCACATTTAGTGGGAGAAAATGTCAAAACGATGCACAGGTAGTCACAATGTAGACTTACTGTTATAACAATATAAAACATGAGTAGCTGTGCTCCACTTTCATTTTGTCAATTTAGCTAAATAACAAAAGGTATTATAATGACTCACTTCTCACTAATTCCCTTTATCATCTTTCCTTCCCTTCTTTTTCTCCTCCTCTCTCCCGCCGCGTCCTCCAGCGAGGAAAAACAAGAAGCTGACCAAGCTGAAAGTTCCCACCATGCCTGTCCCAGTCATCCCCAGGCCCATGCCCCAACTCGTGCCCACGATGCTGTCTGTGCTCAAGGCCATCGAGCCGGAGGTCATCTACTCGGGCTATGACAGCACTCTGCCCGACACCTCCTCGCGGCTCATGACCACTCTCAACAGGCTCGGGGGACAGCAGGTCATCTCTGCAGTCAAGTGGGCAAAGTCACTGCCAGGTAATGAAACGCTCCTTACCGTGTGTTACTTTAGATAGATGAATATCACTGCTCAAGTGTGTCACTGGGAGTATTTCCAGCTTGTTATTGAGACTAATGTGGAGTGAAGTGGGCCAAGTCACTGATGTAAAATGAAGTCATTTGTTACTTTTAATACACGCAGCTGGAAGAGGGAATTACATCATTTTTATATCAAATGGAAAGTTTGCCGTTTGTTTACTAGACGCTTAGTACACAATTGCATAGCTTCCACTCTTGCCCTACAGGTAATTGAGCATGTGCTCGTCGGCATTCCTCAATGAAACTGAAGAACACGAGTAGCTGCAAGTTAACTTGCGAAATACTGTAAATATTATAATTTCCTATCCGGAAATAGCCTCCGCTGTGTGTATTTCACGGATGTTTGGGAAGCCAAACGACCTCTTTCTTTACTTTTCACCCTGTAACTCACCCACCACTCTTTTCACCTTCTCTACCTGGGAACATTGGCATTGGCAGTGGGAATACCATGATGCTGAATAGTTTAATCAATAATAATGTGTCATATTTTAATTGTTCTAATGTGTGAGTCAAATCTAAATGAATGTAACGGTAACATTTCTCTATGAGGTAAATGTGGTACTGCCTAACAGTACATTTTGCCCCGCTTGTATTTCACCGCTGTTTCTGACCGTGAGTAGCCAGTTACTTATTTTAATTGGTGCAGTGGTGGCAATAGTGGATGTATTTAACTTAAAGTCAATTTAATGAAACTGTAACGTGGTTGAGGAACAGTATCAATTTAATACTGATGCCTCTATATGACTTGCATAAGTAAACAAGACCATTACTTCTACATTAGTCACTCTCAAGGCTTGTCATTGGTGCCACTGGGCCGGATTACGCACAATTCAGATGAAATCATGCAGGTTCACCAGAAATGCCTTCAGCTCACACTCCAGGACTGCGCAGAGCAGACTGTCGGACCCTGCTGCAGTAAAGAGGTTTTCTAAAGGGACTCTGCTGCTCGGAAACACTACCGCCTCTTTTCCACAGGGACCACCAAAATCAACACAGAATGAAAGTTCCTTGTAGTAGTTTTAAGACTGTACCCAATGTTTGTTTTTTTTCTGCATGATTCCTCTTGGCAGTGGAGCCAAAGAACAACAGATTATCAGCAACCATCTAACAAACATCTGTAATGGCTGAATCTGTAATTACAGTTAGAACAGGCTTATGAAAGAAAAATGCAGTTTAGAAACCCAACCTCTCCAGAGTACTTTGATTTTGATCAAGTCATGACCAAAGATATCTTTTTGAATGTACATAAATATGATGTTAAAGGAGATGTTTCTACAGCATCAGTTTCTCTTTTTCATCTCAAAGCAAGTCCGATTACTACATTAATTGTGTCATCTTGACTTATTTGAGGTTAGTAGTTTTGCAAAACTTTATGTGGCAGACTATTTTAATTTCATCACACAGTCGCACTGTGTATTTTTCTTTTTTGTTACTGTTGTCCCACCCAGATAACTTACATTCATGTTATAAACATCAAGTGCTGAGTTTGAAATGGATTTCCATGTTTCTGATCATGAGAAGGACGGCACATGACTTGATAATTGCTCCAAGTATTTTCTTGGAGACCCACTGTAATTGTTGCTATTCAAGACATGTGATCTTAAATATTGGTCACACCACATACTGTATGTAAGATCACATGTCTCCCTCTCTCTCTCTCTCTCTCTCTCTCTCTCTCTCTCTCTCTCTCTCTCTTTCTCTCTCTCTCTCTCTCTCTCTCTCTCTCTCTCTCTCTCTCTCTCTCTCTCTCTCTCTCTCTCTCTCTCTCTCTCTCTCTCTCTCTCTCTCTCTCTCTCTCTCTCTCTCTCTCTCTCTCTCTCTCTCTCTGTCTCTCTCTCTGTCTCTCTCTCTCTCTCTCTCTCTCTCTCTCTCTCTCTCTCTCTCTCTCTCTCTCTCTCTCTCTCTCTCTTTGCTGTGATCTCTCTTGCTGTCTGTGACAGTATGGGTGAGGGACAAATCTGGCTCCAATCTTTCAGTGTGTGCCTTGGGATGTCAGTTTAACTAGATCACCCCATTTTGCATTACGAGAGCTGGCTTCTTAACTGTATTGAGCAATTACTTTTTCTCTTCTTCAATGTTTCTATATGTATTTAAAAAAACACTATATTTATGCTCTGCTTTTTAATAATACAGACAGAATAGGTGAATAGTATCACTGGCAGCAACATACGCCATCACCCAAATACAGTGAATTGTTCTTTTCAAGCTGCAAAAACAAATTAATCTTGCACGTTTAATAATTACTGTTGAGCAACAATGTTTAAAGACCAACTAAATGAATGAATGCTCAAATGTAATAGTCTTTTTTTAGTGTTGTATCATTAGCTGCTTATTATGACCTCTGTCTGGCTGGATTTCTCTCTGTGTATGTATTTCTGACCAACTTCATCTGACCTTCCTAGGTTTCCGCAACCTGCACCTGGATGACCAGATGACATTGCTGCAGTGCTCCTGGCTGTTCCTCATGTCCTTCAGTCTTGGTTGGAGGTCTTATGAGCAGTGCAACGGTAGCATGCTCTGCTTCGCCCCTGATCTCGTCATCAACAAGTGCGTACTGCGGCCGGCTGTTGTGCAGTCCTTTCTTCAGCATGACCTTCTGTTAGACAGTTTTGCATTTGCTCATTTCAGGAGGTCAATCTGACCTCATTACGTGGCTTACTCACTCGCTCATCTATCGGTTCATGATTCAGCTTGTCAAGAATAGAAGTCCGGTCATTGGCTCTAGGAGCAGTACCTACATTATATTAGTCATTTGGCAGTTTCTGTGTGTTAAGTTGTTAAATTGGATGAAAAGAAGCAGCCGGCGACATTATGGATTAGGAAGCACATGGCTGCCTCCAATAGTGAAGTTATGACACAGACTGTGGTACAGGGGATCTGAAGGCTTATTTGCCAGCTTAACATAAAGACTGGAAGCAGAGGGAAAAATGTAGCCTGGCTCTGACTATAGTTTATAAATATACCTACAAGCACCTTCAAAGGTCACGGATTAACATGTTGTATCTCGTTTGTTTATTTTTTTCATAATTATAAGAAGATTAGTAGTGATTTATATATGTAAATGTTTTGTAATACACACTAAAAAGCACAACCAGGAAAGCACATTCCTCAAACAGGAAGAAGAGAATACATCAATGACATGCTGAACCATTGAGTAAATAACCTTTTGTGTTACCTTGAAGCCACAGAGAGACAGCTCAGGTATAATTGCAGTGTGATAATTACAAAGCCCCATTACTTAAAGAATCACCGGCTGCAGAAATTGATTGTGCTTTGAAAATATCTGTGCTTACCGCAGTCTTTGTGGTCCCTGGAGGAAACGGGATAAAGCAGAGGCTCATCTCCCGGTAGCTTGTCTGTTCCTGTCGCATTCTTTCTAGCATATGAAGGTCAGACTTTAAATACTTGAGACATTATCCCAATTTGTCCATTATCTTCGATATTAATTAAACCCCTTCACATCTTAGTGGGCTTTTGCTGATTGTCACATATTAAGAGATAAATGAGTATCTACAACGTGTGGGATAGTTAAATTGATTAGATGATCTAATGTAACTGAGATAGAATGATCATTTTGTTGTAATTTGACAACTACAGCTTCCATCTAGCGGTGGGTGTGATACAGATGTGATACAGTACCAGCATCATTTTTTTTTTTTTTTTTTTTTTTTATAAAAGCATAAATAAAACGCAGCATAAAATTTGGAGTCACCCATTTCCATTTAAATTTTCATATATAACTTTATGCACATTCTCTGACACTTTGAAAATGAAAATACAAAAGCCATTTGACATTTCCTTTTCAAAGACAAACTCTGCTCTATGGTTGACAATATTCATGTTAATTTAAATGGGAAAATGGAAAAGCATTGCGCTCGATTGCAGTTACATTTCAAACGCAGCGTATTTGCATTGTCAAGGTCGAGCAACCTGTCGGTCATTTTCAGAAGGCGGGACTTAGTACGCTGGATCTATTCACCGCCCGGAAGAGGCATTGTTTATCTGCCTGGGCAAAATGGCAGCTGCTAGGCTGGCGCAAGTGATTGCAGTTTAGCTAATCAGCTAGATAATGATTAACCCAGTAAACGCTCATGACAGATCAGAGTATTTGCTCTGCTCTGTCACTGACATCGATCGAGATGAGGTTCTGTGTTGTGTTAGATAAAGTTCCGGTGGTTAGCCTTTCCAAGAATGACTGACGGGTTGCTAGAACTTGTATATTCTTGAATATTGTAAAGCAGGGTTAGTCTTTGAAAAGGAAATTTTCAAAATGTCAGAGAATAATGCATGAAGCTATCTTAGAATGAAAATGGATATTTCCATTTAAATTTAAATTGTGATTTAAATGATACTTCTAAAAATGCTAAGTTCATTTATAATATTTATATTGCATTTTAGTTTTCAACTTTTAATTTACATTTCAATATGTCAATCGGCTTTTCCATTTTCATTTTAATATTGTCAGATAATTCCCATGATATAAGTGAAAATGCAAATAGCGTTTTTATTTATATGTTAACCCAATTAATGCATAATGTTTTTAGGAAATGGAAATTCTTTTATGAGGTTACATTTTCACAGTAATGTAGTCTGCGGGAATGCTTTCATAGGCTCTCTCTCAAGGGTCACATCAAACCAGAGAGGGGTGAAAACAGATAAGAAAGGTGACGAGGTCCTTACCGGTAACACTGCAGTTGGTCACAATGACTAGAGGGCTCTAAACCACAGGCTATGTATCAGGTGAATGTGCTGTATTGATTTTAAAAGGTAGAAAGTAATGTGCGCTGTGTGTAAATGGAAGGGAGGTGTGAAAATCCATGAGGACGGATTTCACAGTCTGGTTTTCTCCTTCACGGTTGAAGTGCTTTCCCTGCTGGGGTAGTTTATTTAGAATGTATTAACAGGATGAGTGAAAGAGCTGTAAGTCTACTCTATATGTCTTTGCTTTCTTTCTGTTTATTCCCCCTCTGACTACATGTCCGTTCTACACTTCTCCCTCACCTCTACTCTCTCCCTATGCCCTTTCTTTCTGTCTCCCTCCTCTCAGAGAGCGTATGAAGCTGCCCTTCATGACCGACCAGTGTGAGCAGATGCTTACAATCTGTAATGAGTTCGTCAGACTGCAGGTGTCCTATGACGAGTACCTGTGCATGAAGGTCCTGTTGCTGCTCAGCACAGGTAACGAAACACGCTTCTGTTTTCAAACTTCACGAACTTGCCAATTTCTCTGGGATTTAAAACACGTCTCATATGTAACACTGCTGCGGCCTTTTCATTGCAATGTCAGAGGATATTGATCTACACATGCAAAACCTGCAAGTCTATTAATACAAAGGTGGATAATAACTTTCTTCGGGGGCTTTTTGTAACAACCTTATCGCTCCGCCCAGTTTTCAGCTTTCCTGAAAACAGTTTGTTCATCTTCTGTAGTCACTGTTTCAGTTGAAAAGATCTTCAAGTGTCCAACAGGTACTTCATCTCTGTAGCCATTTGTTATCCCCATTAACGGCGAGCTGCCTTGACTTGTAACCGCATCTTTTGAAAAGTTATAAAATGCTCTGTCTAAGAGACTAAGAGTTGAATTAGTTCATCTTTCTGCCTCTTATGCCAGTGGATAAAATACAACTTGCTGTTTGGCTTGCTATGTAAAGGAGGTAAAATGTTCAGCAGCCCACCCTTCTCTTACCTTCTGAAGAGGTGAAATAATAGTTATAAAATCAGTGGGCTACCAGTTCATCTTTGTAATTACCAACCCTTAAAATCTTCAGAAAAGCTGGACACAGCATGATAAACTTATCACTAAATCAGACTTTTTTTCCCCCCAATTATGTAAACTAGGAGAGCGTTCTTCCTTCTGCCTCACTCTCAGTGAATGGCAGGGGAAAGGATGCACTTTAGAGGCGACGTGCGCGTTACGCAGAGGAGATGACATTTCCATGCAGAGCTTGCATTTTCGTACGTGAGAGCTATTTCCATTTGTTCCCCTAAGGAACGGAAATACTAACTTGTCAGGACAACTGCTTTGAGCTGTTTTAATAATCCCTTTGTGGCATTACATAATCTTTAGGCCAGTCACTGCGGCTGAGCCTGGGATATGCCAGGCACCAGACTGACAAGGAGTCTGCGATGTGTTGACGTGGTCGTTATGACATCTCCATATTGATATTTTTCAGCTGTTTTAGCATTCAAAATAAGCAGAGTTTGTGATTGTTATGAGGTGTTTGTCCAAACATTTACAGCTAATCTTAGATTCCCATCCAGCCCACACCAGTTAGGGAACACACGACACTGTAGCTATTGATGTAGCCTTTTAGTTCTGCATATTTTCCACTGCCCACAGCGTTCTGGTTAGGAGGGTATGTGCTTACGTGTGTGTGTGTTTAACCCGTGTCTCTTGAGGGTCTTTGTTGGGGTCCCACACAGGAAGTTTTAATGAATTATTAATCTAGTCTTTGTGTGTTGCAGGATACAACAAAATAAAGAACAGACTAAGACATATAGGAACATTACTGATGGATTTTCAGTTTGAATTTTCCAGCTGTGCAGATGGCAGAGCAGATATACTGTATATAATGTGTCTACGGGGTATCAAAGTAACACTATCCTGACAGGATTTTAAACTGTCTCATATGATATTATGAGGGGCCACTCAAAAATGTTTGTTTTTTTTCTCACATTTTTTCATTTTATTTTTTGATTCATAATCCTGCCATTACCAGCTAACTTTTATATTGATGTGTCTCTTGGTGTGTTTGTTTGTGTGTGTGTGTTTGTGCATACACAGTACCAAAAGATGGACTGAAAAGCCAGGCGGTGTTTGACGAGATCAGGATGACGTACATCAAGGAACTGGGAAAAGCCATTGTCAAGAGAGAGGAGAACGCTAGTCAGAACTGGCAGCGTTTCTACCAGCTAACAAAGCTACTGGACTCCATGCAGGAGGTTAGAGAAACACAGGCACTCACACTGATATTTACCGCATGCCAAGTGTTTTTCCTCTTCTTGTTTCTATATAGGATTTGCTACATGTAAAAAGCTATATACACATTTGCTTTCAGATCTATAACAAGTACAAAGGCTTCCTTTTCATACCAGCCTTGGTTTTGCTTTCATATCTTGCGGTTGAAGTGCATCAATAACTTGGAGTTCCACTGAGTTCCCTGCACCATGCTAATTTGTGTAAAAGCCTGACGAGTACACTCATAGATCCCACTAAGTGCGTCACTGTATGGTCCGGTTGAATCTGTTACGAGCGTTCTCTGCCAATCGTCTGTACAGCCTTATATAGCAGAAGTTAAGACCTACTGTAGACCCCAGGTTGAATTAAGGTGTATCCAGCAAATCACAAAAAGTTGTTGTTTTGTAATATCTAATATTCTAATATCTGTCTCTCTCTGCCTCCCTGGATGTCTCCTCCAGATGGTCGAGGGTCTTCTCCAGATCTGTTTCTACACGTTTGTGAATAAAACCCTCAGTGTGGAATTCCCAGAGATGCTGGCAGAGATCATCACCAACCAGTTACCAAAATTCAAAGACGGGAGCGTCAAGCCTCTGCTGTTTCATCAGAAATGACTGCCTTAAACTGTGAAGCAATGCCTTAAATCCTGCCCTGCCCTTGTACCTTTCCGGGGCCCCAAGCTTTTGCCCCAAGCCCTAAGCCTTTGCCTGTTCGCCTCCCCATCACGAGGATGCAATTGCTTCGTTTTCTCCGGGCCCCCTTTAGGAATCGGCCACACCCCCCTCCAGGCCTCAGCCATTCAGCCTAATTTTGGAGCACAATACCTCTTCATGCCTCCCAATCTGGCACCAGGTTGGGCCAAACTAGGGTAGGACATCCAACCTCCGACCTGTTGCCCTTTTTCTTGGCGAACCAAGAAGAAGTTGTCCTCCAGGGGAAACATGTAGGCTCTGAATGTCTTGTGGACAGGATGCATTTTTGCGGGATCTATTTTTTAAATTTATTTTTCCAACGCCCCCTCACCCTTTCCTCCGTCCAGGGTCTCTGTCCTCAGGTTTCTGATGCTGTTTATTTTGTTGGCCGCCGGCCTCCAGTGTTTTATTGCTGTTTTACTGACGAGCTTACACCTAGAAACACCTTTTCCACCCCTAATATACTGTCCAACTCGCCGGTTTAGTAGCTTATTGAAGCTCCCGCCAAGCTCGAGCCTACTGTTCCTCTGCTCACCTACCCAGCTCGTCTCCGTTTGCCCTTCCCATCTCTACTGCGCAGAGAGTGTAGTGAGTGTTTGCTTTATTGTGGTTTCCATAGGACGGTTAGCAATGAAGAGGGGATAAACGAAAACACAGGAAAATTTGAAACATGACATGAGAGAATCATTTTTTTCTTTTTCTTCTGGACCCAAGGACAATGAGGACTGTTTTCAGCTGAAATGATGTGAATCAGATTTATATACATGACCAATGTAAGAAAAACAACAGCGAGGGGAATATCCATGTATTTTATGCAGACGCGCTTTTCTGACCACACATGCAAAAGTCACGCTTGCACACAAACATTGAAAGTATTCACGGACACATTCACTCAATGAAATGTTTACACAGGGATTCTGACAAGGGAAAAACAGTGCCTTTTAGCTTTTAAAGCTCTTCATAGCCATCCTCTCTAAACTGTGTTTCTTTTTTTTTTTATATATGAATCTTAACCTTGACAAACATTTTTTCTATTTTTGTTTTTCCATGCTGGCAATTTCTGTTTTTAATCTGAGCAGCGCTCTCTGTTCTGTTTCCTAGACATGTATGCAATCATACTTCGGTTCTAGTTTAGTTAATGGTTTCATACAACTTTACTAAAATGTGGTTTTATGAATTTACCTTGCCAGACTGCCCGTTCCCGCCCTAGAAATTACAGTAAAGTCAAATAGAATTAAAAATGATTTCATGGTGTATTGTTGTCAAATAAGGAAATTTTCTAGACAATTCTCAACTCTCTAAAAAGTGTATTAACTGACTAACTTCTTTTTTTCCCCCAGACATAATTAACTTCAGCAAAAAAGATAAATATATATATATTATTTGTGACAAAAGCATTGTTTCACTCAAAATACCATTTTAAATTAAATATACCTTTTATCTCAAATTGTTTGCACAAACAGGAAGTGGTTTATTATTAAGATGTTGAGCTAAACATGGCTGCAAAGGTAATTTTATATATATATATATATATATATTTTTGTTTTTTTTTTTTTTTTTTTTTTTTTTTTTTTTTTTTTCCACATTTTAGTAAAGTTGTATGAAACCATTAACTAAACTAGAACCG